CAACCGGAAAAAAATGTTATTTATGAGCGATATGTGTTTGGGTCAGCTAATCAGTTACCGAATGAGAAGATAGAACAGTACGTATGCCGGTTGAGACAGTTAAGCACGACTTGTGATTATTCAGCTCTAGAATCTGAAATGATTCGAGATAAGTTAGTTTTAGGTGTTTCAGATCTAAGTCTCCGCAAGAAACTTCTGTCGGATAGCAAACTAACCTTGTCTGCGGCCATTGATATATGCAGGGCTCACGAGGCTACTGATAACCAGTTGAAGCATATCAGTAAAAATGAAGGTGCATGTGAACAGCAACAGGAGGTAAACAAGGTTTTTATGAAGGAAAGAAAACATCAGAGCCAAGGTAGGCCAACACATTTCCCTAGTTTTAGAAATAGGAGAACTTGTCTTTTTTGTGGGAACAATCATGAAATGATAAGAGATAAATGTCCAGCTTATGGAAAAACTTGTGATAGGTGTAATAGACCAAATCATTTTTCAAAAATGTGTAACAGTTCCGAGTCAAGACCTAATAAATGGCCTAATGCACCCAGAAAAAATAAGTTTGCTGATAACAAACACTCTGTTAACATTGTTGACGAAACTGACAGTAGTTCAGAATCTTTGTACAAAATTGAGAGCCTTAATTTAGCTAGTAAATCTAATTCAGCTTCGGACAAGAAACAATGGGTAACTAACCTAACTTTCAGTACAAGGCCTAGGCCTACTCTCGATCATGACCAGGTTTTTTGTGACTTTGAGTGTCAGCTTGACACGGGTGCTTCGTGTAATGTTATGCATAAATCTGACTTTGATAAAATCGCTCGTAAAGCAATTTCAGAATTCAGCAAGCCTAGTCTTAAAGATTCTAGTACTATTTTGAGGTGCTACAGTGGCAACACTATAAAACCAGTGGGTGAGACTGATCTTGTTTGCTATTTTAATGATAAGGTGTATTGTATGACTTTTCAAATTGTCGACATTCCTGCGTATCAAAGACCCCTTATTTCTGCGGAGACTTGTAAACAGCTAAAGATTTTGCAGGTAAAAGCACAATTGTGCAAAGTTGAAGATGTTGATACTTCGCTGTCAAATAATACTAACCAGCAGGACAATGATATAATTGATGAATTTGATGATGTGTTTACGGGTCTTGGTTGTTTACCAGGAATTTTTCACCTAGAAGTAGATGCTACTGTGGATCCTGTTAAAAACTCCCCGCGCAAAGTTTCCATACCGCTTCGTAAGCAGTTGAAAGAAAAGATTGATGAGTTAGAATGTCAAGGCATTATTGTAAAGGAGAATGCTCCTACTGAATGGATTAGCAATATTGTAGTCGTTATGCGTAACGGCAAGATGCGAATCTGTCTTGATCCACGACCGCTTAACGTTGCTCTTAAGCGATCACACTATCAAATTCCAACGATCGATGACATTTTACCAGACTTATCTAAGGCTAAAGTTTTCTCAGTGATGGATGCAAAGAATGGGTTCTGGCAAGTAAAACTAGATGAAGAGTCGAGCAAGCTAACAACATTTTGGACACCACATGGAAGATATAGGTGGACACGCCTGCCATTTGGCCTAGCTCCCGCGCCAGAAGAGTTCCAACGTAGACTACATGAAGTACTATATGATCTTGAAGGAGTTGCAGTGATCGCGGATGATATATTGATTTATGGTTGTGGTGACACAGGAGAAGAAGCCTCAAGAGATCATGATAGGAAGTTGAGGATGTTGCTTTTACGAGCAAGGGAGAAGAATCTAAAGTTAAATAGAAAGAAGATGAAGCTTAGGCAGACAGAAGTATCTTTTATGGGACATGTTTTGTCGAACACAGGATTGCGTCCCGATTTGTCTAAAGTACAGGCCATCACTGAAATGAAGAAACCAGAAAATGTGAAAGATGTCCAACGATTTTTGGGTTTTGTTAATTATTTAGCCCGTTTTGTTCCCACACTTTCGGACCTCTGTGAACCACTCCGACAGTTAACAAAGAAAGAGTCAGCTTGGATTTGGGACGAAACTCATAATCGATCCTTTGATAAAATTAAACAAAGCATTGCAAACGCATCAGTATTAAGATACTTCAATGTCCATGAACCACTGACTATACAGTGTGACTCAAGTAGTATAGGCCTAGGCGCATCGCTTCTCCAATCCGGGCAACCTGTAGCGTATGCGTCACGAACGCTATCCCCGGTAGAACGGAGATATGCACAGATAGAAAAAGAATGTTTAGCAATCTTGTTTGCTTGTAACAGGTTCCATTACTATATCAGTGGAAAATCAGATGTGACCGTCCAGACAGATCACCAACCTCTGGTAACAATCTTCAAAAAAGCTTTGCTTAGTGCACCTAAGCGTCTTCAATGTATGATGTTAAAGTTGCAGAAGTACAACTTCGAGTTGGAATATAAAAAAGGATCAGAAATGACCTTGGCAGATACATTGTCCAGAGCAGCAATACCTTATGATAATCGTAGTAGGAATCAAGAAGACATAGAAACCTCTCATGTTTATAAGATGATTGAAGAAGAGAACATGTTTAAAAGGATGGAAAAGGTGGATCCCACTAAACATCTAAATGTCACGAGTGAACGACTGGGCCAGATTAGGCGAATAACGCTGCAGGATCCAGTGTTAATGAAACTTACATCGGTTATCATCTCTGGATGGCCTAAACTGAAAAGTAGCCTAGATTTGTCAATAAGAGAATATTGGGGCTTTAGAGATGAACTTGTGGTCTTTGATGGAATAGTGTTTCGAGGTAGCCGTTTAGTTGTGCCTAAAGCTATGAGGCCAGAAATGTTACAAAGAATTCATGCTGGTCATCAAGGAATTGAAGCTTCTTTGCGTAAAGCTCGTGAAATTTTATATTGGCCTCGTATGTCAGAAGACATCAGGCAGTGTATTGAGAAGTGTACAGCCTGCCTTCTTAACTCTCCAGAGCAGCAACACCTTCCAATGCAAACTCCTGACACTCCAGACCTGCCTTGGACACACATAGCTATGGATGTGTTTGATTTTAGAGGACAAAACTACCTGGTAACTGTGGATTACTACTCTGACTTTTGGGAATTAGATGAGCTTCCAAACATGACCTCAGAAACTTTGATCAGTGTTTCCAAAAAGAATTTCAGTAGATGGGGTGTGCCAGTAAGCGTAACGACTGATAATGCACCGAATTTTGTTAGTTCAGATTGGTTGAAGTTTAGTAAAGACTGGGATTTTGAACACAAAACATCATCTCCTTATCATCCAAGAGGCAATGGAAAAGCTGAGGCGACTGTAAAAATTGCCAAAAATAATTTGCGTAGAATTGATCGTGATGATGCGGATCTGTGGCTGGCGATTTTAGAAATTAGAAATACGCCTGCTAAGGATGTGGGTGTTAGCCCAGCTCAAAGAATCATGTCAAGAAGGACTAGAACTACCATCCCAGTAACTAGGAGTTTGTTGTCACCCGAAGTACCAAGTGGAGTGAAGTCGAAACTTATTGAAAGGAAGAAGAAATATAAGCGATATTACGACCGAAAGTCCAAGAATCTGCCAGAATTGGAAGTAGGTCAAGGTGTAATCGTAAAATCAAGGCCAAATGTCAAGTATAATCAATGGGAATTTGGTTCAATCAGTAAACAACTATCAGACCGGTCTTACAGCGTAAAGACACCTTCAGGTCAGTTCAGGCGGAACAGAGAATGGATCAAAGTCACACCCCAACAAACTAGTAAGTCACCCACTCTCAGTCCCCACAACAGCCCTTCTCCAACTAAGACCCCATCAGAAGATGAAATGTGTAGCCAAGAAGAACACATAACTCCAAGGGAGATAGTTTCCCCTCAACGTAGGACTACTCGTTCAGGAAGGACTATCCGAACCCCTGAAAGATATAAACAATAAGAAAACTGAAGTAAACAAGTTGTAAATAGAAGAAGTTTTGTTTAATTTTGTTATTTATCTCAGAAGATGTTTATTTGTCATTTCAAGTTTATTAAACTAGAGAAGAAGTTTTATTATTTTAAGAAGAGAATGTTGTTTATATATCATTTAAAAAATTTGAAAAGTGAAGAGGAAGTTTTATTTGTTTGAAGAGGAAGATGTTATATATGTATATGTATGGCTTTATAAATGGATTCAATCCAGTATGTCCCAATTGGACTGGACTGGAGTAGAACTAGCTCCAGCGGCTTCACGTCATTCTTCACTAATCCAGGTACAAAGTGAGATCGTTTATTACAGCTCTTCTTAAGTATATTTTATCATAGTTAACAGATTCAATCGTATTCTGTCCGAGTATCGTAGTGAACCCTAGGCTATCCGCCTTGCAGGCCTTGCTTCTTGCTTGACTTGACTTTTGGTTTGGTTTTGGTTTTGGTTTGGAAACTCGAAACCGAAACCGATCCGAATTCGAATTGTCAAATCAAATCAGTAATCAAGAATTCAATGATTATCATGACGTGTGAGGCTTTTTTCATTCTCATGTAAGTCTAATGTTAGCTATCTTGGAAGTATGTTTTATTTATGGTGGTACTATATTGAATTCAGAGCCATTGATTTCATTACCGTTTAATTTTTTTTTTTTGTTACAAATTCACTATTTTTACAGGAAAAATAAATGATTTTTAGGTTAACTATTTTAGTAGATTAGTACAGTAGAACAAAATTATAAGAGGATAAAAAACATATTGTGGAAGGGGAAAACCAGTCAATGTATGGTCAATGTCAGTATAAACGAAATATTGACCCCGAATCATTCCATTCCAAATGATTTTCCAAAAAAATAAATATAGGGCTTCAAAAAGTACTGCTAAAAGGGGTTTTAAACTATGGAAGGGGAAAGTAAATTTTTAATCCATGGCGGTAATGCAGGATTTACGTGAGGAGGTATTATTAATTTTCTCTGGACTGGAAACACTGGTTAGTTATTTTTTCTTTATTTGACGTCTGCACTGTGCACTCATTGTCTTGTCACTATTCTTGTCATTGCACTCTTCAGACGTTTTTGTTTCTGGTTAGCCTCGGTTTCATTATATTATTATTACCGTACTCAATTCTATAAAATAGTTAAGTAACAATCACTGACGTTTTTACTCACCTCCTATAACGTATCTTTGAACGTGTGATTTGTTTTATGAGCTAAGTATAAACTGTTTCATACAAAATAAAATTTAAGTTATTGGTTGAGGTTATGTTTTTTGTTCAGGTAAGAAGTTTTATGTACCGTATTTAAGGACTAATTTAAATTCGATAACTTAAAGGTACATTTTTGGAGTTTGTGCTAAAAGCAAACCAATGTAAAACAGTATTAAGTTAATCCAAACTAGGCCTAGGCCCTAGGTGGAACCATGCAACTTAAGCTACCAATTCTTGTGGACTGTTAATAATTAAGTTATTTTTACTTTTAACCCTTTCAGTGCCAAATTTCTTGTGTAATTTTCCAAAAAATGCTTAAGTTTTTTACTTACAGTATTTCGTCTATGAAGTGCTAGACTTGCCACGGGGAAAGTCTACTGTACAAGAAAAAAATGTGTACCTATCTAAATAAAATTTTAAATCTCAAAAGTGCTTAGGAAGTAAGTAGGCCTAGGTAGGATCGGGCCTTGATTGTGTGAGGAATGGAAAGAAACCATCGCTGTTTCAAAACAAAACTGAGTCAACCGATATGCCCATTTAAACTCACACGGTCTAAAGTCGCGCCAGCACGATATTATATATTGTTGCTTAGCACTAAGTTATTCTGATGAAACACTAACAAAATATATTGTCCATAGCACTTTTCGGAAAAAAGACGCACAAGGATATATCGTCACATAGCACTAAGGGTAATAGGATAGGCCCTACCTCATACCTAAGTTGCAATGAATTTGTTATCTTTAATATGGACCCGGACCCAGATTCCATATCTAATTAGGCTATCAATTGGTAAAGCTATCTAACAAAAAGATTGACATTAAATAGTAACAAGACCAGGATTTAGACGGTTTCTTTAGTAAAAAGGAACTTAATAAAAATGCCAAAGGTATAACTTAGATAGACACAACAAATTCAGTTAGGTAATGGGTGATAAACTTAAATTCCGCAGCCCACAATCTGGTCTGTAATATTGTAGGTAGTGAATTTCATTAAAATAAGTTCATTAGGTAAAATATCTTTTGCGAGTCCCATGCCTCACTTTAAATTAAAGTTTCCTAAAGGTTTCACTCGCTTAGCTTAGTCAAGAGGTGTTAGTTTAATGAGACATAAGACTGTTTAAGGGCTCAACGTGTAATGAACAAAATTTAAATTTAGAAAAACAACAAAAGCTACAAAGAGTTACAGCAGCAAAAGAAAACTATGAAAAGGCAAAAAACAACAATAGTAAGATAAATTAATTTACAGCATTAAATTTACAAGAAAAGAAAATCAATTGAAAAATTAAAAAGAATGAGTAGCTGACAAATTATATGACTTGTAAGTTTTACAAAACTTTAGTTAGGCCTATATACTTTATTCTTTTTAGATACTGTTTATTGTCCCAGAAGCACACGCACCGATACATGCACTCCGAAACTCTCAATCTTCTTGGTCCCGTGGCCCGTGGTGATCTCCTTGATTTTTTCCTTCAGGTCCTCCAGCTCCGAGACTCCTCACCCCTCCATCTTATTCATTAGCCCTTCTCATTGGCTGATTACCGATAGGGTTTGTGGCTTATAGGTTAACGATGTTTCTTGGAAGTCAGCCCTACCGGTCATCGCCTAGCTCACATCAGCTGGGAAAGGAATTTGTAAATCGATGCTCATGCTACTGTTCAACTCTGTTCACACCAACTGGTCGACTAAGTGTAATGTGAACAGAGTGTCTGCATAGATGAGCACCCTGGGTACGGGGTTAATCCCCTTTCTTACACCTCCCTGGTTAAAAGGTCAACCTACCACCGGTTGACAATAAAAAGGAAAAAACAACGCGGAAACATCAATCACGATGGAGGGAATCGAACGGATATCTTGAGGTACGTTCCGACTCTTCTTCCCCCCTTCCTGCGGAGGATTAGCGCATTTGCTTGTTTCGCAACCCTTCCAGCGACGCGGAAGAATGAGCTGGTGGTGTATAGCTCATAGTCGCTCACGTCTTCTTTCGCCCCTTCGAGTCTCCTTAAGTTAATTGATTGTTTCATTAGTTTTGAATTATTTAAATATTAGCTAGGTTGTTAAAATATTTTTATTTATTTATTTATTTGATTAAATTATTATTATAAATTATTTTTATATGTTGAGATTATGTTACAGAATAACAGCTGTTTTGAACAAAAAGAGAACCCCACAAAAAGTTGATATTCCCTGGGGCGGATTTAAGGAGGGGCCCCTTCCCTTGTCAAGACGAAGTGTGAATATTTATACAGTAATCTTCCATTAAATAAATTATAACACAAACATTGTTCTCATTTTGATGTTATAAATTTTTGAAATTCAAATAAAACATTCCAGATATATAATGTCATAACAACACCCCACACTCCCCTCGTTAATTGTCTATCTTGCGTAAATCAGCTGGTCCAAGCACAAGGTTTATATATTACAAACTGTCTAGGGACAGTAAAAATGCCACTAGGAGCGCTATATTTCCAACCACTAACTAAGTCACATATGCCACATATTGTTAAAAACTGCACAACTGTTATAGTTTTTAGTCACTTGTGTGTGAAACAACATTCCATTTTAGATAATTTTCACTTTTTGACTCGTAATTATTCAAAATTGTCCATACCCCTCAGACCACTCGGACGTGCCTCCCAAAGTGATTGATTCACCCCCCCCCCCCCAAAGATAACCTTAAATCCGCCCTGGATATTCCCAATGTAACCAATCCTAGGCTGTATCATAGACTAACCAACACAAGTAGACTTCTCATCCCATTGTAAATTTTGAAGCACGTTTTTCGTGTCTAGTTCATGTACGTGACACAAAGGCGCTAGTGTCGATGAAACTTTGTTTCCATTATTTTAGGGTTAATTTCTTGATTTGTGCTTTACTGTTTGGTTATATAACTAGGGGACAAGTTATTGTTTATGATTAGATTGTATTATTTGGTTAAACGAGGTTTTAAATGGCTGTAATAACGGGAAACAAATTGTAAACAAAACACGACCTCTACATAAACCGTACATGAACTAACAATAAAATTGTCTTCAGCTGTTCCATAAGGATGAGAAATCTACTAAGGGAGTATGTTTTATCTATGGCTGTATCAATCCAAACCTCTCAATACAAAGGTTTTGAGTTGTCTTAAAAATTATGTCTTAAATAAGTATGAAGGTTATCATGAAATTGAAGTTGTATAAACCTACTCCATTAAACTCTACGTGTAAGCCTATGCACCAAGTTTTGTGGCCATTGGTCCAGTGATGTCTAAGTTTATCTCTGCGAAACATATATACAAACAAATATACAAACCAACATCTTTTGTATAAAAGAGACAAAAGATTTCAATGTTATTCATTGGACAGTTAAAATGTAGGAGTGCAACACTTTTTATCAGGTATTATTATATGAATGAATACTCTAATGCATAAAGGTAAGAAATGTGGTACAGTATTTGACAAATAACATATGTTTAGTATTCATTTAGTTTATGTTGTGTTTGTAAATATTTACTTTTGGGTTTTTAATAAACAGAGTTAATACAAAACTAAACATGGCGCAGTCGATTTTGAACAAAAGTTAAGTTTAAATAGAAGAAGAGAAAGTAAAGTTTAAATATTATGGAGTTCAACAAACCAGATCCACTCAACCTATCGGAGGGGAACATTTCAGACAAATTTAAACAGTTTAAGGAAGAAATCAACATTTACTTTATTGCTACAAAAACAACGAAAGAAAGTAAGGAAATTCAATTAGCCAGACTGAAAAATCTACTGGGGACAGATGGTTTGAAATTGTACAACTCAATAAAAGATGAGTCTGTGGTTGAAACTGTTGAAAACGTGATGAAGACATTGGAAAAACACTGTGTACCAAAACAAAATATGACCATGAGCATTCATAATTTATTTTCAAGAAAACAACTACCTCATGAAAATGTTGACTCTTTTTACGCAGACCTCAGAAATCTAATAAGATGTTGCAAGTTTGAAGAACAGGAAGAAAAAATATTGAGAGCACTTATAATTCTAGGAGTGAATAATAAAGAGTTACAAAGAAACTATTAAGAGAAGATACAAGTTTTGATAGAGTAATCAACTTCTGTAAAGCATCTGAACTTGCAGAAAAAAATGTGCGACTTGTCAATAATAAAGGTAAAACAGATCAAAACAATTTTGAAGTTGACACGGTCTTGAATTCTAAAATTGCAGTTGATATTGCAGAATTTCAACGAAGTTATTATCTAGTAATTGTGGACTATTACTCTCGGTGGGTTGAGGCTCTGAAGATAAGTTCAAAAAGTAGTTAAGTTATTATTTCTAAGCTTAAAGAAGTATTTTCTAGATTTGGGATACCTAGAACACTGATTGCTGATAATATGCCTTTCAACAGTATCGAGTTTAAGCAGTTTTCTCAGGAATGGAATGTAACAATCATCACAACAAGTCCATACTATCCTCAATCAAATGGATTAGTGGAAAAATCTGTCGGAATAGTGAAAGAAATGTTAAATAAATGTCAAGAAACAAAACAAGATCTGCAGTTATTTATATATTAATTTGAAACTGTTTTTCTTTGTCACAGCTATTTTGAGAGAACGGCTGGGCGTAGAAACTCGGTAGAGGTGTCTAAAGAAAGGTCTTGGTCTGTAGATGAGCCATCAAAAGAGAAACATGGTGAATTCCCTTGGGGCTCTACCCCATGGCCTTTAAATTCCCATCCCATGTTATTCTTATAAAGGAAAACGGGGTTTTTGTCACAGCTAATTTGAGAGAACGGCTGGGCGTAGAAACTTGGTAGGGGTCTCTAAAGAAAGGTCTTGGTCTGTAGATGAGCCATCAAAAGAGGAAAGAGGTAAATTCCCTTGGGGCTCTGCCCCAGAAGCCTTTAAAGTTGCCTCTTCAGATTTGTTTACATTTCGACCATATGCATAATTCTACACTACTTTTTAATGCAACAGCTGTTTATATTTAAATTGTGATTTATTGAATTTGTCAAAATGAAGTACCGTACAGTATTTGCAATGGATTTTGCTGATTTTAAAATTGATTTCCTTCTGCATCGTGTCATGTTTTGCAATATAATGTTCTATTACAAAATCAGTGGAAAGTCCTAATATCACAGTAACTTTTAAAATTATTTCTTATGGAGTTAACTTATATCTATTGTATGGGTTGGTTTCTGCCTTTTTTACAACTTATTGGAGATTGTAGGTAGGTGATATTCTTTGGCATATTGCATCTGTAGACGAAATTTCGGTTGGTGTAATTAATACAATGGAAAAGAGCGAGAAATCTTGGACAATTTGATATAGGCTAAAAATAAAACTGAATTAACACTGTGGCTACATTTCTTGAGCAATCATTTAAATAACCGATTTGCAAACAATGGAAACATAGAAAAAGTCATAGAACACAACCAAGTAAAAGAAATAGAAATAATGTTTTTTTTTACACTAAAAACACTAAAAAAACAAGATCAACTTTTTGAAAAAAGATATGATATTTACAAAAGATTTTGATTATATCTAACTGTTGTGTGGATCAGAGTATTTCCATAATCTTTGAGTCGCCTGTAATGGTTCGCAATTGCTCGAATTCGAGCAACAGGTACACTAGTACTTATTAAACCACAGAAACAGTCCAATATCTAACCTTGAAGTTTCTCCAGCGCTCAGCTTCTTAACAGCAGACAATTAAGAAGTAAAATTCCAATGAGAGAAGAACTATTAAAACCCAAACTTGTTGAGGACAGCATCTATGAAAAAATGATAGAAACTCAGAAAGCACAAAAGTCATATTATGATAGAAAGTCTTTAAACGGTGAAGATAGTTTTACTGAAGGGCAGGAAGTATGGGTTCAAGATGTATTCAATAAAACATGGGATGAAGGAGTAATAGAGAAGAAACTTCAACAACCCAGATCTTATTTAGTTTCTACTAAAGATAAGGGTATAAAGAGAAGAAATAATAGATTTATAAAAAAAAGATTAGGACTCCAAGCTCAAGGGGAAGATGACAAATAACATATGTTTATTATTCATTTATTTTATGTTGTGTTTGTAAATATTTACTTTTGGGTTTTTAATAAACAGAGTTAATACAAAACTAATCAGTATTTATAAAAATTACCTGTGATAACTTACCGGCACCTTGCTTATAAAAGAAACCTTAATAAGTTACATGAAACATCAAATTTCAAAACTATTTAAGTTTAATACCTATATTGCAGGGGTCTGAATAACATTTCCAAACAAACAACTGAAATTTAATTCAGATTTGAACCCTAAACTGCCAATGTACTTTTTGTCTCTAATACCACAGATAAATGCAAATGTACACTATTGTTTAGCAATCATTTTTTTCAGGCAAGAAGCAGAAGAAGATTTAACAATATCTACCATAGTTTTAAGGTAAGATTATTTTGGGGTTACCTTCAGTAGACTCCCTCTTATATGGACTCCTCTGGACCGAGACCAGTCCGGATAACGGGTTTTCCGGTTAAACCGACGTCCCCAAAGACTTGTTAAAACGGACCGTTTACTGTGATATTCGACTTAAATTTAGGAGAGCATTGTATTTAGACACGATTTGGTCTCAAATCTTTCTCACGAGAACAGTCATTTCAGTACCGCCCACTTCCTGCCGATCTAGTCCGGTTAAACCAATGTGCTGATAAAAATTGTCTAGTTAAAGAGATGTCATTTCCGCCGAGTGTAGTCCAGTTAAACCGATGTCCGGTTAAAAGGTGTCTGGATAAGAGGGAGTCTACTGTATATAGTTAGCATATAGAATAGCATAAATTTAAAAGGTTTAAGTAAAAATACAAACTTTCCTTGTCTTGATTTTTTTCATGCTTTATCTCTTTAAGTATATAGGCCTACATAATCAAAAAGTTCAGTAATATCTCTCTCTAAAATAAAATGAAATGGAAACCGAATTATGTCCTGTCATGATTTATGTCTAGAAACCAATAGATATTCACTACAATTGCCAAAAAGCCTGTTAAATAGTTGAAACACCACAAAGTCTTCCATAGGGTAAAGAAATTTATTAAATAACTTTTTATTTTACCAACATTATCGATTTCTACTTAGATTGGAACTAATTGAAAGTTTTCAACACTTCAATTTTACCTTGGAACAAACGTAGCAAACCTTTAATTTAACACTGGATAGCTCATTCCATTCAACAAAGAAGTCAGTTTGTATCTTTAATTTATACCTCCACAGCAGATCTAAATCTTAAGATGTACAAACTCTGCAATACAAGAGAGATAAAATATTCAAGTCAATTTAAAAAGCAAATTTTTAAAGTATTTTAGCTATTCTTGGAGCTGTTTAATCTTAGACTGTCAAAAATGTCACTCAAAACAATGTAGAGATATGAATATCACAGATTCTACATCAATTCCATGTCAGTCATCTTCATGACCTGTTTACTTGTTCACGATTTTTATATTGTCGTTCACTGTCGAAGGTAAAACCTGTTAGTGTTGTTCTTAATTTAAAAATATTTTTTCTCTGATTTGTTCGAAAACATGAAACCTACCATAGATATGAACAATGGTAATGGTAAAGGTGAGTTTGATTGAAATTTGCTTAGTTTTATTAGAGCTAAAATTATGTAAAGTGCTTAACAAACAATGTCTATTATGAATGAAAGGTTTAATTTTTTTAGATATATTATTAAATATTTTTATTGAGATAGCAAGGTTATAATGCATGAAAATTAGGATTATTTCAATAGTGTTGTATTGCCTAAATATAAACAGTAAGTCTATAGACTATACACAGTAATGGTAAATGTTTAACATTGATAACATTATATTGTTACAGTAAGGTATGTCAACATTACATCAAAATTGTTATGTTACAGAAAATAAAACATTAATTGACTTGAAAGAAAGTAAATTGGATAGAAAAACAACTCTGTCATAAGACATACCCGACTAATTACAGCTAGAAGTTGCCATTATAAAGTCTTTATAATGAAATGCTATTTTTAAGTCCTTAGAAAAGCAAACTTTGTATATTTTAAAAATAATTTTAAGAGTAATTTTGACCGAAGCAAAATTAAAAGATCTCGTATAGGCTGGTACAGTTTTGAACAACCTTATCTCTTTGTAGTTAAAATTTTGACATACTTACTGAAGGAGAAAGGACTACTTATTTTGAAGGATATGTTGATATAATTAATATTATTGAGTTGTATTATGTTGTGTTAGTTGATATAAAGTTATTGTCACTGCTATTTTATATTGTTTACTATACTGCAGTAAAAATCCTTTTATATTAATCTAAAGATATTTTAACAACGGACCATGTGCTCCTAAATTCACCTCAAATAAACAAGTATTGCATTTGCATTCATTCATATTAAATAATTACTATTAAATTGGTAATATCGAACTAGCTTGACTTGAGTGCTTATTAAAGGATTACCCAACAATTGAGTTTCAAAAGGTGCTCGACAGTGATTTTTCCAAAAACATCTCTTAACCTGAACTAAATTATTTACTCCTTCCCATTATTTTATTATCAAAGACCAGCGGTCCATTTGGTTCTCGCCCGAACTTGTGTAGTTAAAAACAACTTTGTAACCTTAAGTTTTGTTGATGCATTGGAATTCAGAAATCGTGCATAAGAGACATATAGTTTGCATACAGAAATTGAAAAATATTCAATTTTAATCAGCTGCAATATTATCCCCCTTATCTAGTGTTCCTTTTGGTTCTCGCCCGAACTTGTGCAATTAAAAAAACTTTGTAACCTTAAGTTTTGTTGATGCATCGGAATTCAGAAATCGTGCATAAGAGACATATAGTTTGCATACAGAAATTTACAAATATTCTAATTTTAATCAGCTGCAATATTATTCCTCTCATCTAACGTTCCTTTAATGATGGAGATAGTAACAGCATGTCCTTTAAGTGAGATTTTAACATATCTATTGTTTTAGATTTGTCAGTAGGTTTAAGAAGACTTAAACCGTGATGATTATGCAACTGCCATTGGTTGTTACAGTTTAAAGTTTAATGCCATGTTAAATTTAGCATGATGACATTTTTATAGTTTTTTTTATGTATGTTTAATGAATTACTCTGTCATGAATACTGCTTTCATTGTTATTGTTGGCTCTTCAGTCCCAAACTTATTTGTAGCTTTCTTTCTCTTCGAAGGCAAAAATGGCAAAGGCATGTTTTGTGATTGAAGGTACAATAGTGATTTTTTATTATTTGAAAACTTAAACATAATATTTTATTATAATCAGTAATTTTGTACGTCCTGAATATACGCTCTGCTAAATCTTTAGCTTAAGTTTTTGCTTGTTATCAACTGCAAGTTAGCGACTTTTAACTGCTAATTCTCTGGTATATTTTATGAGGTTGGCTAGTTTAGTAGGTTTATCTAAATGGAAAATAGTAGCCTCTGGTACAAAAATACAAAACTTTATACATCTTTGTTCTCACCTTCTCTACATCTCAAACTTTCCATGGTTGGAAATCCTTAGGGAAACTCTAACTCTTGTGTATAGGGTTGGGTTTTGTGTTTCTTGTGCCCAAGTGGATTTTTTCCCATTCAGGCAAGCCTATCCTCACAAAAATGCTCAAAATAGTTAAATTTAGTTTATTTTTACAAAGTATTGCTGGACTAATTTGTTGAGTTGACTCTGATATACTTTTATTCTTTTTAGCGATTTTCCTATAAATAGATTAAGTAGGTCTCATGGTAAGACATAGACCCAGGTTTTGTTTTAATGCCCCCCAGAGGCCACAAAAACCATCTGTTCAACCATATACCTCTGTGACTGTGTCCATTAGCACGATAAATTGAGTAAAAACTATCTGATTTTGATTAAATTTGTTACAAATGTGTAAATCTATGTTTGTTCTAATGAGATCACGAACCATTAAGATCGGACTATGTAAACAGGGTTCTATGGGGCGTTATAAACAATTTAGTACACTAAAGCGCTGTGGGCCTAATAGTTAAGAAGCAAATTCTGAGATGCTTTAAATTTAAAATTTGTATTTTATAATTATTGGGAATAAATAAACTTTTTGTAGTTAGCTTGTTTATGGACATTTTGCTCAAATTTGAAAGTATAAGCAGTCATTTGAAGTAATGTTAAGGGGATCTACCACCTTTAAATGAAATTTTTTTTATTTAGTAAGTTAGACATTTTTTATTCAGGTATTATATTTAGTACCTTTATTTAATGAGCTTTTGAGGTTTTAAATTTAATTTTCACCTTTCGGTTTTTTTATAAAAAAATATTTAGCGATTTATTTTCGCGTTTTTAGGTACATTGCTAATCTTTGAATAACTTTTTTATTTTTAGATCAATTGCAATGATTATTGATTTATTTTTATCCTTATAATACCTAGAAACTTTTTGGTCATTATAATTAAAATACCATTTCAGAAAAAAAGTTACAAGCAATTAATATTTTTAAAATAAACATTTTTATTTTACAAATTAAAAAAAAATTATAATTATTTTATTTTATTAGCTATACAATTTCTTATGACCAATTATCTCAGTAATATAACAAGGAACAAGTGGTAACAAGTTTAATGGCTATCTATATCTATAATACTTTAAAAGTTATTCAAACATATGTAATAAGAAACACGGAAAAACAGAACTTGCGGAAAACAGGCTTTAAAGTAGGCTATAGCGTTTCTACAGCAATGTGTAACAACTTCTATTTTTTAATATTATTTAAAGAAAAAATATTCAGTTTGTCTTCAAATTTCACCCACATACTCAGAAAAGTATGCAGAAGAGAAAAATAACATTTTTTTAAAATGTGAAAAAAAATTTACCATTTAAAGGTGGCGGATCCCCTTAATATAGGTAGCAAATTTGACAATTTTAAGGGATTATTTTAATGGAAATCCGATCAGGAAAATGGAAATTGGCTTTGTCATCAGGTTTGCTACGGCAGGGGTATTCTAATATTAATTTGTCTTGATACCGGTACTTAACTTTACTTTGAAATGGCAACCATACCAGCATTGTAGGTATTTTAAGCCAAGTATTAATGGAGATGAGTGTAGGATGAGTGGTGCGATCTTGTAGTCAAATAAAAAGGAAAAAATTTTATTTTTCACTAGAAAATTGAAACAAAAATTTTTGTTTGTGACAGGTGGCAAGCCTAGGATGACCCTTACTCTAGGCCGCAAGTTGGCCTATGGCGTGGGTCATGTGTTCAACGACCTTTGCGCCTCCATGTGGTTCACCTATACACTCATCTTCTTCAACAAAGTCATCCTCTTCAGCAGCAGTCTTGCAGGCATAGTTGTGCTAACAGGACAGATCGCCGATGGACTAGCAACACCGTTTGTTGGATATTTCTCCGATCGAGGTGACGACTTTTGGATTTGCAAGTACGGACGGAGGAAAACATGGCATTTGATAGGTGAGACAGTAGTTTTTTGTGATACTGATTTGGTGTTGGATTTTTTGTTCAGGAAATCATTTTGAGTTGAGTTCCCAAGGATGCTGAGTGTTCTTTCATAGTAAATCGAGCGTTTAATTTTTACGCCTAGATGGAAATTAAAAATTTCTGATTGAAACTGTTTGTTACGGAGGTAAAATATACATACCGGTAGCTGTTTTGTAGGAGATTTGTATTTCATTCTGTTCACTACTATATGTGTTCAAAACTCAATATATTTTAAAATAATTATTGGACTGGCATAATTTTGTACGAAATTGTATGATCTTTCACTCTCCCCCCCCCCCCCCTTCGGATGGAATATCTTGAGTTACTTTTTACAACAGTTACAAGAATAATTCACGCCTGTACGGTTGAAAACTGCATTTATTGTTCTAATCAACTAAGCAGTAGGTATTGTTCAGGCACGCTGTGCGTGGTGGCCAGTTTTCCGTTCATCTTCACGCCGTGTCTGGGCTGCGAAGACAGCGACTCTTGGGCCCAGATGATCTACTACTCCGCGTTTGTCATCATCTTCCAGTTCGGCTGGGCGTCTGCGCAGATCTCTCACTTGTCCCTGGTGCCCGAGTTGACTCCGGACGAACACGAGAGGACCTCACTTCTTGCCATTAGGTTGGTCTAAGCTTTACAATTTTACATAGTGAAAAAGTTAACCCTTGTTAACGTAAATTTACTCCAGTAAAGACAAATTTGTATTATTTTTCTATTTCTACCGTTATAAGTTTTTAAATCTTGGATATCTAAAATTATTCCCATTCTCCTTGGATAAACTCCCCTGATTAAAAAAAATTATACATAACTATAAATAGTTTTACAGGCATATTCTGCCCCTCCAATTCAAAGAGACACTAAAATTACCTTTATAGCCCAATGTTCCGTCTAAGTAAGTCAAATTAATTTTGCAATTAAAAGTTTATCTCTTTATCTTAAAAATGTTTCTTCAAACCTTTTTATTTTTGTGTGTCTACTGTATTTTATTTTAAATTTGCATCTCTGTTGTTTTTATTTATTTTATTAATAATTCTAGTTAAAATCAATGAGTATTGCTTGTATATTAATTATAACAGCATCTTGTTGATATTACAAACGGTTGGAATAACATTTGCAATAGACTTATTTATAATGTTTTTCAACTATACTACACCTACTAGTGAATGATTTAATAATTCAATGTCTGTATCTTATTGTCCTCATGACTGTGTTAACATTTTGTGTTATCAAGTGTCCCCAATGATTGATAATAGTGTTTCAGTTAAACAGCTGATGGCTACTCTTATCAGCTGATTTGTTGCAGATATAGTTTCACCGTAATCTCAAACATTGTGGTCTACTTACTTTTGTGGATAGTTCTACAAGTTGACAGTAATAACCCTGACGCTCCCATCACACCTAAGGACACCGGCAAATTCCAGGTAAATTGATCTTAAAGTACTTTTGTGATATAAGCGTGGCACATAAAAAGTTTTGCTTAGTATTGTTGAAGGGAAAAAACTTGTTAACTGTGAGTTTACCAAAATGTCTTAAGACAGTGCAGTGAGTGGTTGATCAAACTCCAGGTTTTGGTAGAAAAACCCAAAGCTTCTCAAACACTTTCAAGCAAAATCTCTACATACTACGGTTCAATTTTTTTTTTTTATACTACCTAAAGGTTTTTCAGTGGTCGAATTCTCGACCAAAAATATGTAATGTACAGACTTATTTTCGCCCCACGCTGTAAATAAAACATGTGATTGGAATTTCTTCCATTTGTTTTGATTTTCTGTTTATATTTCGTTATAATTTCGTAACTAGCATAGCAATCCATAAGGCCCATGTTCATTTTTAAAATTTTTTATTCATTTTTGTGCTTATTTTTTAGTCTATTTTAATTTATAAAGGGATTTTGCACATCTACAAGAAATTTTTTTTTATATATGCGTAGATTTTTCCCTGCGTTGCACACTTTGCCTGTGTAAATAAATGATATTTCATTTCATTTCACACGAGCTGAGAAAGGTTTTTAAGAAACATGCTTGTCTATAAATATATAGATCTTGGGATCTTGTACACTACAGTAACTCAACAAAACTCAATAGTAACAATAAATCTCAATTATTTAGTAACTAAAAAAACCTCAATAGTAGAAAAAAAATTTACATTATTTTTAATACCTGAGAATGGATTAAGCTATTAAATCTTTTAACGCTCAGTGGGTGATTAACATAGCCAATGAATGTATGGTGAAAACCATGCGCTAAACAATGATAAGTAAATGATTTACAATGTTGTTGACGTAGGTCGTAACTAGAATTACGTTCAAATCCACTATCTCAATATTCATTGCAGTTCTTGTGGAAATTCCAACATGACTCATTGCTATCTCATCATTTCACTTATCACTTGAGTGAGTACTTATACTTCCTTTTACATACTAATGAACAACAAATATTTTTTCTATAAAATTTTTATCTATACATTCATCACTCATAAGTTTTTCCCAGAACACAAATTGATTGGATTTGAAATTATTATTACATTTATTTGTTTATTGTTATCATACTTGACACCTTGTAACAACAGTCGTTTTGGTAAAGATTTTTCATGAATACATCACAAAAAATGCGTAGTTTAGTTAAAAAGTAGGATTGAAAAAATTAAAATTTACATAATGAAATCCCATTTAATCAAGCTAAATAGCTGTAACAGGAGTAAACAGCTGTTTTACGGACTAAATCCTTGCGTCAAAAGTCAATTTAAAAAGTGTAGTGTGGCGAAAAATATTTTTTGTTCTAACTACTGTCTTTATTGTTTTTCTCAACCTTTTTTCATACTTAAATGTGTAACCTGCTTGTACTGAAATCCCTAAGAGGTTCACTAACTAAAATTCTGTTTACATTGCATTGTTATGCCATTTTTGCCCTATCTCTAAAATCAAGGGACAAAGTCATTTCCCGTCCAGGTGTCCGGCACGGTGCATAACTCTAGTTGACGTGATTGACAGGTTGTGGCCTACACTGTGGTGGCGCTGGGCTGTGTTACGTCGTTCGTCTTCCACACGGGAGTGAAGGAAACTCAGCGGGAGACGCTGCTGCCCCACGATGAGCTCGGCATTCCTGGCTCTAGACAAGAATCTGTCTCTATCTCTCCTTGGGGACTGTTTGGGAAAATACGACTGTACCAGGTAGAGCCCCTGACTAGTATAGTTTTGTATAGTATAGTAGACATCTCGTCAGTATTGGAGTTGTAGTCGATAATTTGTTTGAACATAGTTGAATGATACAGTCACAGCTTTAGTGAAAGTTATATTTATTTGTTGTAGTTTAAGCATTTAAGTATTAAGCAGTTCTTTTTAGTTTGGCTTGGTTAAATAGTTTGTCCACTTTCGTTCTAAAACCGGCCAAAACTTTAATATGGGAAAGTTATGTCAAAGGTAAAAGTAGTACAAAAGACACACAAAATATTTCGTTCCTAGGGGACTTTGTCAAGTGTAGAGAAAGAGACCCCCCGGGAATATAATATTGTTTTTTTATGTGTCTTCTGTGAGTTCTTCGGCCTTGTACTTCTTCCAAGTTAAGCTAGGTTATTCTTTTCATTCTACAATTTTTGTTTATAAAATTAGTTTAAGTATTTTAGAATGTGATGTATTTGTCTTAGTGATCTTCAATAACAGAATCAAGAACATTTTCACTGTTGATGTGTATTTTTTGCTCAATCTTGTGGAATACTCTACTCAAAATTGTACTCATGTTGACAATAATTTTGACTCAAGGCAGTAGTCAGGAAAATGGTTGAAGAAGGTCAAGTGAGGGGTGTAAATTTTCACCACCAAATGTTAATACTTATTTATGGTCGCCATTTCAGTAAAAAGTATAAATTATTAAAAAATGTTTAATAGCTTGTTTAGTGTCATACACATTGGTTACAAACTGCAAACATTATGTAGAAGTCATGAGTAGTCATCCAAAATACAGGAAGACTATTTCCAAAATACCTGTAGTTTATTTGAACCTGATATAGGACTACATAAAATTTTTTGCAAGATGTTTGATACCGTTTTAATGGGACATAATGAGTTAGTAGAAGATTAAATAAATATACATTTACTTGAGATTGTTATTTAACTCACAAAATAGTAGTTTACAACAATTTAGGGGATTACCTCTGATAGTAGTAGTTTTCCCCAATTGATAATATCAAGATCCATGAAAATGTAAAGAATGAAATAATGACAATTGAATTCCACTCAAGTATATGTTTATCTGAAGCATTTGTTTATTATATAGTCAAGTTATCTGCAGTATGGCCAATTATACAATCAAGGCCTTGTCATTGTCACTTGAAAAAAGCTTAAAAATTAATATTTTAAACCCATATCGATAATATCAGCAATCTGGCACATACTTTCTCCAATAAGCTTGTCAACAACCCTTATGGGCAAGGGGTAGGATTGACCAGTGGAAATTACAAAAGTTGTAATTACTTTTGAATCGGACTTATAGTAGAACCTCTTTAATCCGAACTAATTGGGACCAGGGGTAGTTCGGACTATTGAAAAGTTCGGATTACAGAACATATTGTTGTTTTTACTTATAAGAATAGCTAAAACATGGCTAAAATTGATCAACATTATTTTGGGAATAGTGAAAAAATGTTTTACAGTGTTTATTTAATACAGTGGTTAACATGGTGAATAAACAGTATTGTAAATTAAATACAGTATACAATAAAGAACTGCTGTACTGTGTATAGAGTACAGCAATGAGGGGTTCGGATTAGTGGACGTTCGGATTAAGGGGGTTCGGATTAAAGAGGTTCTACTGTATAATTTTAAGAACAATAAAAGAACGATGTTTTAATCAAAATCGTTTATTCCGGTTTTTTTATCCAATTATTTTATTACTTTTTTGGGGTTTTATAGGGAATAAATCTCAATTAATAATTGAAATTTCAAAAAACTGAAAACGCCTAGAGATGTAATAGATTAGTTAGTACATAAATACAAAACTTCATCAAAATTGAACCACAGGTGTGGTCTAGCACTGTACACACGTACAGACATCACAAAAACAACCTTTTTGAATTCAGGGGACCCAAAACTCAAACTCGAACATTTTGACAGAAACAATACTTTCTCCATATACTGTTTGTAGAGGTAAAAAGATTATTGTCTATACTGTACTTGAAAATAACAGTAGATGTGCTTGGATATTTTGTCCTAAAAGTGGTCAATCGCCCCCATGGTAATACTTGACTTATCCCTCTATGTGTATTTTGCAGGTTGCAGTATTGTACATGGCCACTAGACTGTTTGCCAACATCAGCCAGACAATTTTCCCTCTGTATCTCTATATTTTGCAGGTTGCAGTATTGTACATGACCACTAGACTGTTTGCCAACATCAGCCAGACAATTTTCCCTCTGTATCTCTATATGTATTTTGCAGGTTGCAGTATTGTACATGGCCACTAGACTGTTTGCCAACATCAGCAAGACAATTTTCCCTCTGTATCTCTATATGTATTTTGCAGGTTGCAGTATTGTACATGGCCACTAGACTGTTTGCCAACATCAGCCAGACAATTTTCCCTCTGTATCTCTATATGTATTTTGCAGGTTGCAGTATTGTACATGGCCACTAGACTGTTTGCCAACATCAGCCAGACAATTTTCCCTCTGTATCTCTATATGTATTTTGCAGGTTGCAGTATTGTACATGGCCACTAGACTGTTTGCCAACATCAGCCAGACAATTTTCCCTCTGTACCTCTATATGTATTTTGCAGGTTGCAGTATTGTACATGGCCACTAGACTGTTTGCCAACATCAGCCAGACAATTTTCCCTCTGTATCTCTATATGTATTTTGCAGGTTGCAGTATTGTACATGGCCACTAGACTGTTTGCCAACATCAGCCAGACAATTTTCCCTCTGTACCTCTATATGTATTTTGCAGGTTGCAGTATTGTACATGGCCACTAGACTGTTTGCCAACATCAGCCAGACAATTTTCCCTCTGTATCTCTATATGTATTTTGCAGGTTGCAGTATTGTACATGGCCACTAGACTGTTTGCCAACATCAGCCAGACAATTTTCCCTCTGTACCTCTATATGTATTTTGCAGGTTGCAGTATTGTACATGGCCACTAGACTGTTTGCCAACATCAGCCAGACAATTTTCCCTCTGTATCTCTATATGTATTTTGCAGGTTGCAGTATTGTACATGGCCACTAGACTGTTTGCCAACATCAGCCAGACAATTTTCCCTCTGTACCTCTATATGTATTTTGCAGGTTGCAGTATTGTACATGGCCACTAGACTGTTTGCCAACATCAGCCAGACAATTTTCCCTTTGTATCTCCACGATGTGCTTCACCTCGGAGGTCAGAACATTGCGATTCTGCCTCTCGTCATGTATGCTTTCAGCTTCCTCATGTCCACGCTGATCAAACCTCTAAACAAAAAATGCGGTCGTAAGGTAAGCGTTAGGAAAATTTATCGTTAGGTCGTTGCAAGGTAATTCATCGAGTGGAAACAGAGTGTTATGAATTTTTATTTTTCAATTTCCAACCACTCGTGTTGAACGTCGAACAAATATTGAGTTTTGCTTTTACTTGCTGTTAACTAGACTTCTCCTGTCTCATTCAGAATCCATGGCCATTGTTATTTAAGCTTTGCGTAATGCACAATTTTCATATGTATGCAAATATTCTATAGGCTAACTATGAACTGTAAAGACACGTGTGTAATGATGTTTTGATCTTCATTGAGATTCATCCTGTAGATTATGATAAATTATGTGTACAAATTGCAATAAATTGTTCACATTTGGTTGACAGGTGGCCTTCTGTTTCGGAGCTGCTGTCGGTGTTGGAGTGTCCATCTGGGTGAGGGTGGGAGAGGGGGAATTCTACACATCGTACTTGATCTACGCCGTCGCTGGACTCTACGGTGAGCCTAGTTTTGATTGTATAACTAAAAAATGCTTAGTTTGACCTGGGTCCAATTTAAGCACCACTAATGACACCTAACTGAGGCATTTTTGTTGAAAACTGTTTTCGTCTCATACCATAATACTAGTTCTTTGACATATCACAGCAAAACCAGCTTTGTTATACATGAGTGGGGGCCATAGTAGTTCTTTTTAATCTAGGACAAAAAGAATCAGCTGTCATCGAGAACATTAAACTTTTTGTGCCAAGTGAGATTTTGAAATGGTGTTTGGACTTAGGAAAAGAGCCATCAGACTCATTGCAGATTTAAGTGAACATGAAAGAGAGATGTGTAGGTTTGCTTTCAGGGAGCTTGGAATCTTGACCCTACCTTTCCTTATATTGGAGACTGTGGTTTATTGCTGATTCAAAACTTGCCAATTCAAGGCAATGCTGTTCACAAGTATGGGACAAGAGCGAGGGACGATTTTCGCACTATCCAACCGTAGACGCATGTCTAGCTGGCTTTGTCTTACTATTGTGTTTAACTTTTTGAGATTTAATTGTTGAATATTGAACATTTCTTTGAAGACTATTTTAAATACTTATGAGGGTAATACATTTATATGTAAACACTTAGTCTTATGTATTCATTTATTAAAACTCATCACAATTTTCAATGCTGTGGATAACTTGATAACCCCTAAACTCAACAATCTCTGGGGCAAAAATTGTCGAGTTAGTGAGGTTTTATTGTGTAGCCTTATTATAATTGAAATTGAACTAAGGATGAGCGTAGAATGGAGCGAAATTTTTTGTGTAGCTCTTTTACTAAAACCAGCTGTTTCTATAGTCAGGACTATTTATTAGAAGCCCAATGATCAAGGACAGCTGGGCCAAGTTTCAAACCACCTTTTGACATTTCTCAGGATCAAACCGGTAACCTTTCGATTATTCGATTTGATAACCAGGCAAGCTTTATAACCACTTAGCTGCCCTGTTCCGCTTGAGTTTGTCTTAAAAAGAGTTATTTTAGAACTTAATCGTGAAATATACTATTAGAAACAACTGTAAGTTCTGATATAATTGATTCACAGGAATAACGTCGTCAGCCTTGCTAGTTACAAGTCTAGGAATCACTGCAGATCTGATTGGACATGATCTCAACAATGGAGCTTTCATCTACGGACTCATGAGTTTCTGTGATAAACTGTCAAACGGAGCGTTAGTCATGGTCATTCAAACATGGTAAGTACCACTATACTTTGGAATAAACATACCGTTGAAATTTCTAATTTGTATGGTAATATTTGCAAGATGACTCTTCAATCTTTATGACAAAAATATTTAAGTACCGTAGTGCTAGGGAAATGTTATGAAATTGTGTGGTCCAATATGTTTTTTGGAGACTAAATTATTGATGTTCATAAATCTTCTGTTTGGTAAATTCAGAATATTCAATGTTCACAAGTTCTGAGTTTTCAAGTTTAGTTCATAAGATCAATTAAGAACCCAGAAAATCATGTAAATCATAATAAACTGTAACCACAGTCACTTAGCAAGACATCCGATTATTTGACAACCAGCATAGTGTCTGAGTTAAAATGTGTATTAGTATACCGTCTTAACCCTCCAAGTGTCTCTAGTTTTGGTCTTAATCTTAATGTTCACGCATTTATTGCATAATCGCAGGGTTTTATTAAAATGTATCTTAGAAACTTAAAAACAATGTAAAGTATACTGTTTTATATATAATTTTGTTTGGAAAATTATGGGCTTCAATGTAAAATATAAAACATTACAAAAAAATGTTCAACAATTTTTGTGGGGTTAACATTTCACAAAAATTATAAAATAAATGAAAAAAAATTATGTTTGGGCTCAATAAATTGTTATAATTTATAGGTCTACAAATATTTTAAAATAGCCACTTTGTTCAGAATTTTATGAGGATCCCAAAAATAAAATAATATAAGGAAGTAAATTTGCAAATAAATAAGTTATGGGCAAAAAACAGATTTCAGTACATAGTGTTTAGCTAAGAATGCATAGCCTAACCATAGCTAGGAATCTGGCTGATAATTTACATCAATATCACTACCTACTTCTTCAGGATCATCAACCAGCCCTTCAAAATCACTTAAATCTTCTTATAATGCACCACGTATATCACTACTTTTGATTTTTAACATTAAAACAATGATAAACGTAATAAAACACATCAGTTATCGGTGCGAGGTTAACCAAGCTGTTTACAAATACGCACGTCAGCTGTCTGCTACAATTATGATCGGCTCGAGAAAAAAAAGCGCTTAGAGACAGACCTCGGGAGAAAGCTTAGAATCTGCCAAATAAAACGATACCTAACTCGATCCAGTTCAATCCGATTTTGTCAGTCATAGAGCCTTCGCCGTAAACAGTGTTTGTGAGTTGAAAAATCGACACAAAACACTCGGAGGGTTAAAGTATCTCAAATATAATATAAAATTGATTTTAAAAAAAACTTTTTAATTGTTTATTCATTAATTTAGGTTATTGATCTCATTTTGTGACTGTTACTCAGTATTTGTTTTCTCAGCTTTGCTTGTTCTGTGTAACATTGTGTGGAAAATAAATCATTTGCCATTACCTAGTTAATTTAAATGGAACTGTGTACAAAAACTTCAACTAAGCCACATTTTTTACAATTAGTTAAGAATCTCCTGAATACTGTGTTAGAATATAAGGCTGGATATTTATAGCTCCAAAAAGCAAATTAACTTTAGACCAGTTATTCTTAGATGCAGTTATGTCACGTATTGATGTTTTTTTTTTTTCAGGACGTGTTGGCCAACATGTGCGACACATTATAGAGAGTCCCTCTCATACGTGTGTGGTGGAGCAGCTTTGTTGGGAGCTGTAGCCGTTATGTCACTTTGTAATACGCCCACCACAGGTAAATATTACTGTTTTCATGATATTAGCCTCCGAATCACTTGAAGCAAGTATAACTAAAGTTTATCTCCCTTTCACTGCTGAGGGATTCTTGTAGTCTTATCCAAGATAGGATCTAGAACTACTAGAATCATACTTTAATCAGTTAATGGATTAAATTTCATATTTTGTTATGTCTAAACCTTAAAGTCTGGTTCAGTCTTTTCTGGGCTTCGAGGGTTGTCAATCAAGGTCTTTGTGGCTTATCGAGGTCGTGATTTTTACTTCACAAATAATCCAGCCGGTTCCCACCTTCATGGGGCGATCATTCTCGTCATAGCCAAAAACAATTTGAGGGAAACCTATACTCCAAGTATGAATCGCGTCCTGTGATTTATGTGGCTTGAGATGTCAAGCGATGTTGAAGTCCATTGTCAGTTAACGGCAGTAAAAGACCAAACTGTGTAAGGGGTGTCGGAAGTTCTGGTGGTCAAATGCATTTATTTATTTATGCTCAATGTTTACATGTTTTGCATGCGGGCGTGGTGTGACTGAATGAGAGATTCAATCAATAGAGGGTAGAGACATCAACTTTGCTCGCTGATCAGCAAGTAGATTCCTCAACTTAATTACTTGATGAACACCCATTGTTGCTGGGTATGGTTGTCCAGATGTAACAAATTGCTGCTTAGACATTTGTCAACTGGCAACATATTTTAAAAGTCCTTGGAGGCTAACGGCCATCTTGGATAGCTTCAAACAGCTGCTGGAGGGTTATTTATCATCCAAAAACATTTTTTCAAGCACCAAATTGATTATAATTTAAATATCTAGTGCACTGTGAGATAAATTTTCTTTGTAGTTTTTAACTGTTTTACAAGGGAGTCCATGGAAGCTAACGGCCATCATGGATTTCCTGCCATAACAGCAATGATAATTTTATTAATTTCAAACAGCCGCTGAAGAGTTTTTTACCATCTCAAAATATTTTTTACAAATACCGAAGTGATTGTATTTAAATATCTAGGGCGCTGTGAGATTAGAAGTAACGTCTAGGCTCCAAGGACTCTTAATTGGGGTTGACAGTAACCTAATCGTGTATTGCGATTCCTACTTGAGATGAGTGTAAATTTTCAAATAATTTTTATACCATGAGGAAACTAATCTTAGATATGGGAACTGGCTAAAATAGTTGTGAAGGAGTAAAGAGCACAACTCGGATAGTCTCAGATTTGAACTATCTCAATCGGCCGCGATGGGAGTTTGATTTACATTTATACAGACAACCCTCTCATATTAACAAACATTTAGGAATATTTTTAATGTTACAGTGAATTTCGTTTCAAGGAATTCCACAAGTGAAATGAACCGATTTTGTCTTTATTTGACAGAGTATTGCTTGCTTTGACATCTTCTAAGGCAGTTTCAAGGTTAGGATTAGATATGGTTTTGTGAAAGTTTAACCATCATTTTAAGTTTATATCACAAACATTTTAACTTTGAGGTGAAATGGAAAATAATGAAATGTAATGTTTTAGTATGTAAAACGGTGCATCACATCTTTTTTGATGGGTTAAATTTTGCTGAAAATTTCCAAAGGAGATTAACTTTGTGATTGAACAATGTATCATGTTTTATTTGCTACTTGTGCTGCCTGCAGATGGGAACGTATGCAATAAATGTTGGGTACACTTCTTTGGCAGGAAGTTCAAAAAACTTCTTGGATACAAAACTGTGAGTTCACGAACTCACCAACTCTGATTTGTAAAATTTAACAAGAAACGGAGACTCAAATTTGTGTTCAGTAAGTCAATGTTTTTATGACAGTGGTGGTATTTCCCTTCTGGTAATTATCGTTTGTTTTTGGCTGTATTTTGTTGGATTATGTTATCGTTTCAGTTTGTTTAGTCTTTCAATCCTGTCTTTAGAATTTATTTTGGAGCTTATTTTATTTCTTTGGGGTTTCTTGTGATTTCCTTCTCTATGTTGTTAAATGTTTTGATTTCTGGTCTCTTGGTTATAAATTTTGTTTTCTTCTTTTGAAGTCTTTCTATGGACCAATCTATTTGTTTTTTATCCTTGTTCCCTCAATTTCCATTTGTAGCCAAGCTAAAAACTTAAGATTTATATTTTTTAACTTCTACCAACTGTTTAAAGCCTACACTAACTTTGTTGGTTTTTTAGTTATTTGTTTTGTATGAATTTATTTTATAAACTCCATGGTTTTTATTTTTTACAAAAATAAAATCGACATATCTTTACCAAAGAATTCTGCGCTTGCATGCTAACCATGTGCTACACAATTTTTTTTTTTTTTTAAGATACAATGGTTTCATCCTAACATAATTTATCCCTTGTTTGGAAAAAAAAACAGATGTACAGCTAAATCAAATATTTAACCCACATTTTTTTTTATGTATCTTGACTAGACTTATATTTTTGTAAAAATTAAAAATGAGTAGATTGGTTTTTGGTGTGATACAGAGTAGTTAGGTATAGCACAGTTGGCAATCCACGGAAGTGCACATTCTTACATGAAACATAATTAATTTCTTTGCTACCCCCTTTCTTCCTTAATCTTAAGATGGCTATAGACTGTTTTCCGTCTTCTAAGCCATAATTAGGGTCCATTAAATAACTGCTTGTTGATCAATAATGTTTCTATAACACACAATGTGGGTGTTCAAATTTCTGTTTTTGAAATTTTAATGATGTAAAATTGATATTATTTTTCAATATATATGACATCTTGAGCTATCATCACTGTTATTCATTGTCTTCCTTGATGTTCTATAAAATATCTCCATAAACCATATGAGTTTGATCCTCCTATTTGATGGTTTAAAACCACACAGCACAAAGTGATAGTTGGACCTCTAAATATTATTCTTTATATCTAAGCATTCGCACTATTTTCCTTTCTCTCACTTTCATACTGGGGCTATGATAAATTGAAGTTGTAGATAAATTAAAACACCAATTGACCAAAATAGAGTGTGAGGCCAATTTGGATAACTAATTAATTAAATCACTGGTTGGAATTCAAAGGCAATTTTGATAGCAAGAGATCAACAAAAGATGTTTGGAACGGGTTTTACTGCACAGGTATCTGAATCGATGTGCAAAGTAAAGTTACTTCATATTGACATTTATTTTAACATCTCTTTCTAGAAGAACTCGAGGAAGATCAAAATAAGAGAAGTGAACGACAAGAAGAAACTAGAGAAAATGTAATCTCAGTGAACGCTTAATCCTAATAGTATATAGAATTCTTAAGAAGTATTGAAAACAGGTTATTATATTGTACAAGATAGTTTACTTACATTCCCTTGTCCCGGTTAGTATTGCAGATTAGATATTTGAACACACAGTGTTATTTTTTTATTATGAGAGTATTATCAGTGTCATAATTTGCAAATGTTTGTTGCTCAAACTTTTACCATTAGTGATTTAGATAAACTAAATATTTTTATTATTAACTAGACAATTATTTTGTTAGTTTAGCAGAACCGTTTAGTAATTGTAAATATAAATGCATGAATCATTCCATCATCTAATTCATAACACTTTTTAAAATCTAAAAAGAAAATTTTATAATAAAATAACAAACTAGTTTTGTTCTTTTTTCCTAAAAGGACTTTAAGCTTTAAACATAGGATCTACCATCTCAGATTGATTTCTGTTATTATACGATATTCTGTAACAATTAATTAGTTTTAAGATATAGTTTTACATATGAGTTGTTATGTTTTTTATCAGTTTAGAGTTTATCCTTTGTGTGCAATATTTGATTGATATATTTATTTTTATATGTAACTTTGTTTGAGTTTTCAGGGTAATTTGTATTTTATATGTGAACTTTAATAGCTTTATGGTTATTGTTATATTGTATATTTTATAATAACGTTAACTTATTTGTTTTAAACTCACAGGTATGACTATGAATTCTGTTTTTAGTGTTTGGCACACACATTATTTAGGGTGTAATGTTGGTTGCATTTAAAAAAAATTAGGTACCAAAGTTTTGTCAAAATAGAATTGTAATTTTCTTGAATGATGATGATTTTCTGGACCTTTTATTCAAAGTAATATTTTTATATATATTTATAGTTTCATCAGGGTCACTTCCAAGTTAGTTTTTCTTCTAAGTCTGTATTTATCATTGTTTGTGTGATTAAAGATTCATTGTTAGTGTCAATTACTATTAAGTCATCGCCCATTTTACTGTGGTGCTGTGATTCTGTGATAATTAAATTTATTTATTCAAATCTTTAAATTTTATTTATCCTCAGTCAGTAATGATTGGTTGAGTAGCGATGGAGTTTCATAAGATGCAATTTGACCTAAAGGCTATTTTATAATGTATATTAGTGGTGGTTTTGAGGTTGATTACGTCTGCCATGGGCACCGTTACCACTGTACAGTGGCAGATATAGAATTTTTTTGGGGAAGGAGCTGATTAATTTAAGGTGTTAAGTAATTTCAAGTAGACACGCCATGATACTTTATCTCAGTTTTGATGCAGTAATTTGAGCTAAATGTGCCTTTACTTTATCTAGATCACGCTGTATCATTATATCATTCCATTAAATCATACAAATGTATCCATTCAATCCAAATAAAGAAAACATCTCAATTACTAAATAAAAAAACATTGGTCAAGATTTTTGGTCAAAGTGTGTCATCCCGTCTATAAACAATTTGAACCTAAGGAGTCAAATACACGATCGTGATTATCATATTCGTTCTAACTACTGTATGTATTCTTTTGTGCAAACCGCAAAACGTTAACATTTCAGTACAACATAAAATGTTGAACAGCTGTCAATAAACAAAAAATAACAATGGCTACCACTGAACTTGCTGAACTCTTCATTACTCCCCTCCCCTGTCGCCGGTAGATATGCTGGTCTCTAGCGGTCACTATAGCGTCTCAGGTTCCTGGTCAGGACTCAAAAACTGATGAGAACCTCTTCTGCTAAGGATTGGGGGGGCTGACGTCACTCTCTTCTCTTGAGGGAACACCATTACCGCAACGATATGAAGTGCAGACATCGGTGTTCGTGGTGCAGTGGATAGCGTACTTGGCTGATGTCCAAGAGGTAGCCAGATCGAATCCCACCGGTGACACTTACTTTTGTCAATGATTATGCTTAGAATGCACTTACTTCTTAACTGTACATCTTTTGTTAGAATTTGAGGCATTTATAATTTTATTTTATGAGGAGAATTATTTTTTAGATTAGTAAACCTTCATTCGGTTTTTAACTATCTTTTTTATAGTATCAGCAAGTTTGGTTGGTTAGGTTAGGTTATGACGATCTTCTATCATTTCACTTCACAAACAACGTAACACTGTAACGTTATTTCCAAGATTAATTACTTTTTCATTTTGTGCAATTGACCTAAAGAGGATACCCAAAATAAAAATTCATCATTGTTACAAAAATCATAGTTTATTTAAAATAAAACAATTTCTTCTAAAACACTATCTACTACACCTTTAAGAGACCGAAATTAAACTGAAATCCATTACTTCCATTTGTTTTTAGAATATCAAAAGAAATTAACAAATTTAAAACATTCAGCTAATATTTTTATGGGGCATTTTCAAACAATTAATTCCTGGTACACACTTGAGCCCTGTGAACAAACAAACCCTTTTCTAGCTTTACAGTACAAATACATATTTATTTAATGTTTCAAACTTCTTTGAATTAAATTCAAACTTCTTCAAATTAAAAAAACTAAACAGTTAAATTAAAATTCCTAAAAAATTAAATTACATTAATTTCTTCCTGGATGAAATAAAATTTACAATTGCAAAACTTTTCTAGGAACTTTAAATTATTACTATAGTTAGCATTTATTGTTTTAATATATCCAAATTGAACTCTCTTAAAGAAATTCTAGATGAATAAAAAGGTTCATTTTATATTTACATCTTTTACTAATTGAAAGCAAAGTTTAATATTTAATAAGCAAACATCTATGATCTTTCTTGTTATTACAATAATTAGCAGAGAGAGGGCTAAAAGGGAATGAATTAAAATAACATAAAATAAAATAAACTTACTACTCACTGAGTAGGCTGCAGAAGTTCACCCCAGGTCTGGACACTGTACATTTACACTCTTGAACTAACAATCCCAGATGGAAGAAGCTCCCTTATACTGTGTATAAGATATCTCAGATCTGGAACCTTCTACCCCTACTCCGGCCAGTACTTGCACTGGGCCAGGTGATAAGGAAGCTTCCAGAGCTTTCTTATCAAGATGTCTTGCTACTGCAGGCTACTCCTGACTATTGTGAATATAAAACTTTAATTTCAAATCATTACAACAAAAAATAAAATATAAAATGTTTCTCAAATTTCTATATGAAACTAAACCATGTTACAAAAATTCCCCCCCCCTGCTGAAATAGAAATTTGTAAACAAAATATTTTAATTTTTATATGACTTAAGCTATATACAATCTTCATGCTTCATTATACAAAGTGTTCTTTTCTCATCGCCGCTCACCGAAGATGCCATGGCCAAAGATCCAAAGACTTGAGATCCGAAGTTCCAAAGATCCGAAGTTTCAAAACATCCGAAGTTCTGAACATCCGGAGATCCAAAGTGGTCCGCGAGACTCTCCCCTCGCCCAGGTGTCATCTCCCAGTAGTTCTGGTCATCTCCTCGTCGTGGCCCTCGCCCGTGACTGTCCGGTCTGTGACGTCTTTGCTGTTCCTTGCTGCAGCACTTGCACTGGACCAGGTGATAAGGAAGCTTCCAGAGCTTTCTTATCAAGATGTCTTGCTACTGCAGGCTACTCCTGACTATTGTGAATATAAAACTTTAATTTGAAATCATTACAACAACAAAAAATAAAAATTATTTCTCAAATTTCTATATGAAACTAAACCATGTTACAACACCTCACTGTCACCACTCTCTTTGATTCTTCATTCGACTGTATATTTCACTGCATGGTAGACAATCTTTATAGTCTATTCTTCTTTCACCTCACAAACAATGAAAAACATTACTGTCACCATTCTCTAGATTCTTGATTTAACTGTATATCTCACTGCATGGTAGACAAATCTTCATAGTCTATTCTCTTATCATTTCACTTCACATACAATGTAACACTTCACTGTCACCATTCTCTAGATTCTTGATTTGACTGTATATCTCACTGCATGGTAGTCAAATCTTTACAGTCCAATCTTCTATCACTTCACTTCACAAACAAAGTAACACTTCACCGTCACTTCTCTCTTGATTCTTGATTTGACCCTATACCTTACTGTATGGTAGACAAATCTTCATAGTACATTCTACTATCACTTCACTTTACAAACAACGTAACACTTCACTGTCACCAATCACTTGATTCTTGATTTGACTGTGTATCTCACTGCATGGTAGTCACATCTTCATAGTCTCTTCTTCAATGATTTCACCTCACAAAAAATGTAAACCATTACTGTCACCATTCTCTTGATTCCACTGTATATCCCACAGCATTGTAGACAATCTTCATAGGCTCTTATTCTTTCATTTCACTTCACAAATAATGTAACACTTCACTGTCACCACTCTCTTGATTGTTCATTTGACTGTATATATATCTGCATGGTAAACAAATTTTCATTTATTATTATAACTTAACACTTCAGTATCACCACTTTCTTGATTCCAGATTTCCACTTCACAAACAACATAACACTTCACTGTCAAAAATTCTTTTGATTCTTGATTCTACTGTATATCTCACTGCATGGTAGACAAACCGTCATAGTCTATTCTTCTATCATTTCACTTAAAAAAAACGTAATATTTCACTGTCACCACTCTCTTGATTCTTATGATTAGACCCTATATTTTACTGTATGGTAGACAAATATTCATACACCATTCTTCTATCACTTTACTTTACAAACAACGTAACACTTCACTGTCACCACTCTCTTAATTCTTGATTCGCCAGTATATCTTACTGCATGGTAGACAAATCTTCATAGTCTATTCTTCTATCATTTCACTTATAAAACAATGTAACATTTCACTGTCACCACTCTCTTGATTCTTATGATTAGACCCTATATTTTACTGTATGGAAGACAAATCTTCATACACCATTCTTCTATCACTTTACTTTACAAACAACGTAACACTTCACTGTCACCACTCTCTTGATTCTTGATTCGCCAGTATATCTCACTGCATGGTAGACAAATCTTCATTGTGTATTCTTCTATCATTTCACTTCACAAACAACGTAACACCTCACTGACACCACTTTTGATTTTTCATTCGACTGTATATCTCACTGCATGGTAGACAATCTTCATAGTCTCTTCTTCTATAATTTCACTTCACAAAAAATGTAACACTTCACTGTCACCACTCTCTTGATTCTTGATTTGACTGTATCTCACACTGCATGGAAGTCAAATCTTCATAGTCTCTTTTTCTATCATTTCACCTACAAACAATGTTACTCTTCACTGTCACCATTCTTTTGGTTCTTAATTCGACTGTATATCTCATTGCATGAGTGATAATTTTCATAATAGTCTCTTCTTCTATGATTTCACTTCACAAACAATTTAACACTTCACTGTCATCAGTCTCTTGATTCTTGATTTACTGTATATTTCACTGCATGGTAGACAAATCTTCATAGTCTATTCTCTTATCATTTCACTTCACAAACAACATAACACTGTACTGTCACCACTCTCTTGATTCGACTGTATATCTTACTGCATGGTAGACAATCTTCTTAGTCTCTTCTTCTATCATTTCACTTCACATACAATGTAACACTTCACTGTCACCATTTTCATGATTCTTAATTCGACTGCATGTTAGACAAATTTTCACAGTCCATTCTTCTATCACTTCACTTCACACACAACGTAACACTTTGACGCGTCTTATTGAGCTAGTTAGACTTTTGGCGATATCTCACTCTCCCTCCTAACCTACTCCACTTTAGTGGATAAATAAAATAATAACAAAACAAATATAACACTTCCAGGACAAGAAAGGATATTTCCAAGTTGTGTGTGTTTTTTTTTTAGTTTTTGTTATACTGTACAAAATTTACAAAATACTTATTATCCTTACCAGCTGAACACATGGCAAATTGGATTATCATGCTGCTGAAGGTCTCGAGTATTGTACTTTACGTAAAAACCCTTTCTAATGGATATATTAAATCAAGTTATAATCGTTAATCGTTATTTTATTATCTTTTTAAATTT